GCAAGGTCGTGATTCTTTGTAAGGTTCTCGACTTCGTTCGGGATGTTTCCCCGCATGGACATGGACAAGCACCACAAACTTCCCAGTGCTGTAGGCGACTTCTTGGCTATGTCATCTAGACAGCTCAGGTACAAAATGTCCAGATCATCGGGTCGTGCGGTGCTCAAAAGTTCTCTCAATTTTTGTATGGCAACCAGTTGTAAATCGGGATCGGCTACTCGCGATCCCGCCGTGCAAACTGAGGCTTCCCTTAGTAGTCTCAAGCAGAGGTCTAAGGGCTCGAATGACGGTGTTTGACGCTCTGATTGACATTTCGATATCAGGTCATTCATGACATTTTCCCAAAGAGTGCGTATTGCCGGCGAGAACGCTTCAAGTGGCATTGTTTGGAACTTTTGACACCAGCCTAGCAAACCATCGTAGTCGAACAGGTTGGTTATACTTATTACCATTCGTGCTAAGGCCTCTGTAATGCGAGGATCTTGACAGAGCATGAGACTCTGCCATAGACGATCGGTGTGGTGCTGTTTGTAGAGCTTGGTAACGATCAGAAACCCTAACACATTCGAGCTCTCGACAATAATCTCAGGATGACAATTCGGACCCAATATATAATCGATCAACCGAGTCTCCAGTAAACACTCCCCAATAAATGCCAGAAATCTGTTGCTGCTTTCATCACCGGCGTCTATGGTGCTTTTCCATACTGATACGAGGTCGTTGCACAGCCTTGTAATGGCCATAACACGAAGCTGCATTTGACTAGAACGAATTAAACGGTCCAAAATGCCGAGCCTCCATTGCCATGCAACCGCTTCAAATCCATTAACATAAGGTAGGTCGGGATATTTTTGCAGGTGTTGGCGCGCAGTGTCGAATGCTGAGCTGTGTTCTCCACGCAGCGTCCACTTCAAAACATCCGTCAAAGCTTGTATTAGAGTCGTAGCTGTTTCAACACCTAATTGAGTAACGTGTTTCTCAATTACCTTTTCCAAACAAGTCGAAATGTTGTCCCAAATAGTGGTCCCTATCTCCAATTGGCTCTGTGCTTGTGCGATTCGGTCGCCCCCTGTGACGAGTGTTCGTACGGATTCTCGCAAACAACTGCTTAGAATCTTTGCGATGGCTGCCAAATGTTCCAACAGTCTTGGAAACTTTGGGACAAGGGCTGTCAAGGCAGCTGCCAAATGCGCGAAGGCAGACACGCTGCCACCTTGGCTCGATTGTAATTTAGTAAGTAGGAACGACCCGACTTCATTTTGAACCCATTCCGAGCCAAGGGATCTCTCTTCGCCGGTATTTGTTGAGGACACATCGGTGACTATTATGTCATGAAGCTGTTGGAGGTACTTTGCGGAGTATAGGTCGGGAGGCTCCTGATTGGTCACTCCGATGGTCGACTGCATTTCTTGAAGCACCAGAATGTCCAGAGCAACCATGCGGGCCGTTAAACAGGCAAATGTAGAATAGACCCCGATTATGGTACTGCGCAGCTCCGATGACCTGACAAGTTCGGAACTTTGTAAATCATTAGTTAAGAACATCAGTCACGCCTATGCACAGTCGCTTTTTTTTCGCTTTGTGAGGTTGTCCAGGCTGAAAAGGGAGTAACATCTAGGACAAATGAAATGAAACGAAATGGGAAGAGCCCGAAGGGGGAAGGGGTTGCGAGAGGAGATGGCCAGGCACATACCTTCTTAGTAACAACTGTAGCATTGCCTCAGGGAACATTAACCAGAACCTTTTATTTGCTTGCCGAGAGTCCAGCACCGTCGACTTCTCGGCATTTCTGGCAAACTTCAGATAATCTTGGATCCAAGCTTGTAGTAATATAAGAGCTTCAGGATTAATAGGGGAATCTGTAAAGGTCTTAGTACCAACCACTGGTATGACAATGGGCGTTTGGCGTAAAAGAGAGAGAGAAAAGAATATAAAAAATGTCCATACCAGCTTTGAAGTGATGAATAAATCGAAGGAGCGGCAGGGATGGCTCTTCATTGCGTTGGATATAAGGAAATTGCGGAGTAGGGTCAAGAGGCACCAGCTCGCGACTCAGAATTCCAGTAGCCTTTTCGTCAACGGAAAAAGCCATTTCATCGTCGCTTTCTTCGTTTTCATCGTCAGAGATGGCGATTAGTTCAACTGGTGGGCTTGCGGAATCCGACATTTGGGCAGTCTCCTCTCCAGACCTGGCGCGCTGCGACTCCTCCACAGTCATCTTTTGTTGGCCATCGCCGGTGACGTTTGAGATAACCGGGAGAGCCTCGTCGTTACTCAATGACGGCAGAAAAGTTTCTGCAGAGTCAGTAGCAGGGTCGGCGACTTTTCTCAGATTGATGGTAACCTTGCTGGAGGATAGCGGTGTTGGGCTACTGCTTTTTGCGCTGTCTGTTGGTGTTCTTGGAGTACATGGAAGTTCGATTTTTTCTGCAGAAGGCGTCCCTGTATTTTTATACTGTTGGCCCATGATCATTGTACTGGTGCTGGATCTCTTGACGGCCGACTTATCGTCTGCGGATATTTTCCCAGATGTCGATGCGTCCGGGCTTGCGGATGCGGATGCGGATACTGATGCTGATGCTGATGCTGATGCTGATGGTGGGGGTGACGCAGAGCCCGAAGTTCGACGCCTCTTGCGGGCGGAAAGATCACTGTCATCAAAGGGATTTGGGCGAGTAGATGGCGGATCAGGTGAAGGGGCATGGCTATGGTCCGGGTCGTTGGGTGAGGCCGTCGCGGCAACATTCCCTGTCGGACTCGCGGGCTGATCCGTCTGGCTGTCCGTGTCGTTATCCATGTCGAGTGCTCGAGCGATCAGGTTCTGACAGCTCGAGCCGGCTGCTCAGCTTGGATGCTCAGCTTCGGCAGCCCACGGTTGGAAGTGTGGCAGGACGATGGCCCTGGACAAGTGTGGGAAGTCGATATCTTCACCCCAAGGGCTAAGCTCGAGGTAAAGACGTCACAGCGTCGTGATGGCCGGCTGGGCGGCAGATGCACAAAATTAACATGTGTGGTGCGGAAAGGAAAGGCCAGAAGCCCTCTCAACTCCAATGACCAATAAGGGTCGGGCCAGACACAGTGATAAGAATTATAAAAGTCGTAAAAAGACAGCTGGTAAAGACATGCGTCTTGCAGAGGACGAAAGCAGGTCAAGCTGTGAAGTGCAAAGCGAGCGCTCAAGTGGTGAGGTGCCTGGTGCTAAAGGCAGGCAAGTACCAAGCGTACCTGGAAATGTACCAAGTGTACATGGGGTAGGTGTACTTGAAGGCAATGGCGGGCGCGGATTGGCTAGCGGGACGCGGTGCTTGTGTGGAACTGTGACGGTGACGGAGCAACATTGGAGGGACTTGGAGGGCTTAGAGTTGGAGGGGTAGCTCAAGCTAGCTGGGTACTTGGGTACTTCAATGTGTGTTCGGTAAGGTGTCAACCTTAGAACTTCAGGTGTCCACTTGTGCCGAGGGGTCAAGCCGTCATGCTGTCATGCCGTCATGGGGAACTAGCTCGAGATGTGGCGACACAAATTGCCGAACAGCACGTCAGAAGCTTCGATGGTTGTTTATATCTGGTACGCGCAAGAAATCGCACGCCAATACATGTACACCCAAAATTATTCAAGTCCTCAAGTATTATGAGATAAACTTATGGTGATGCGTGCAGCACACCGCCCCAAAGCGTCAACGGTACCTCAGTGTCCAGGTACGGAGAACTTGAACACGATGTACTCTCTGCAAGGCTTCCAAAAGTGGGCGGCCTCGGCGGCTGGCATGTACTTTCCCATGTTCCCGGTACTCCGTACACAAGAAGAACAGATGGTAGACATAAATGATTCCAACATTGAACTCGCTTTCGCTTTCGCTTTCGCTTTCGCTTTCGCTTCATCAGAGCTCTGGAAATGAAACATAGGGACGGTTCTCCTGGCGAAATAGAGTCGTCGACCTCGTCACATGCATGTCTGCTCTCTACTAGGCACTCCTCGCTGTTCAGTACAGTGGGTAGACAAAAGTTGTACATGGCCAAAGCTTTAAAGATGCCCTGCCTATTAGGTACCTCGATACCTGCTTGGCAGTAGCTTGGTGTTGTCCGGTGCTTCATTGTTTCTCCTCACCACAGCCCTTGAGTGATGCAAACATTAGGATTCCTTCTCCGTTATCGCCTTCGCACGTTAAGAAGTCTGGGCATGCACCTACCCCTAGCTTCATTATTAAAACAAGCTTGTCAAGTGGTGAAGGGTATTTGCCTCTGGTTACCCTCTAGTTGGTTTTCGATTCAAGATGACAACTACAGACTTGGCTTGGCGCCATCACTACCCTGGACTCGCAGCACTGCACATGATCATTGGGCACGCCAGCGCGCCTCTAAGCTTCTCCACTTAGGCCACATGCTTTCAATGTTCCTTCTAGTTACTTGGTATCATTGACCTTTCTATCAGCAGGCAGGCAGTTCTTGGCCATGTTTAACAAATGCGCATTGTGCTGAGTGTTCATACTACCAGACAGCAAATGCCAAAAAGTACTGGGGGCTTGACCATGCCAAGATGCTGTAGTCTGGTTTGCGGAATATTGTGTCGCACTCTGAGACATTGCTGACCTCTAGATGCTTGAATCAACTTGGCGTTACTCCGTAGACCTGCCCAGGTACATGCAGATACGCACTGGTGCCCGCTTTTTCACACACACAGTGCCTCATCAATTCAATGCTGACCCGGCCCACAGATGATTTCATCCTATTTTGACTCCATACTGGAGTACCGGTCTTTGCACCAAGGCAACCCAGACCTTCTGGCTGGACAAGGAGAATTCACAATCATACCTCCTGGAACTATACCCGCCTTAGCCGTTTTACTCTCGCCCTACGCCTTCTGGCACACATCATGACAACCCCTATTGCACCACCTGGTCGGAAGCGCCTGGTTCATCATCTTGATACGCCTTTCTCAACAGTATCGTGGTATGGGGGTCTCCCATCATGACTTCCCCGAGCTTCTAATTTATCTAATCAACATGAAAGGCCTGAAATTTCGTCTGATGATCAAGATACTATCCTGGAGCTTCTTTGCAAGTGAGCAGGTCAGAGTCCGCGATGGTTTCTCCGCTGACTTCATCAATAGTTTGCTGAGTCCCATTGGCCAACATAGAAGGACACATATCAAGCCTTCGAGAGGCAAGAGAGCGGCAAAACTTGAAGCGAAAGTCTCAAAGCAGGATGTCCTTCCTTCGGTGACAAATATTCCCAGGCCCCCAAAGCCTGTACTATGCAATCATGTCGACATAGGATTCAATGCAATTACTAGAGGATTCGAATCAATGTCTGGTTCAAAGTCCACGGGGAAACCTGAACCGGACAGCTCAAGGCGACCCTATTCCATGGTTTTCGTTACTCGAGGCAATCAGTCTGCTACTTTCAACTGCCATTTCCCAAAGATGGTTGCTGCTTCGTCACATAAGCTTGACCCCCAGCACAACATCAGATTGATTGGCTTCTCCAAACCTTGTTCAGATAGGTTGAGTTCTTGTTTAGGGATCGCCAGAGTATCCGCTCTTGCTATCACCAGAGATGCCCCAGGAGCAGATGCTCTTTGGGCGTTTGTCAAAGAGCATGTACCGACGATTCATGCTGAGTGGTTGAACGGCAAAAATGATCCTCATTACCGACCGACTCAAATAAGCTCGGTGGAGACTGTAGTTGGTGCCAAGAAACTGAAAATTACGCAGGCTGCTAGACTTCTTAGATCTGAAAAGGAAGAGCATGAGTAGCAGGTATAAGCCAGAACGATGATAGCGTGGATACTAATTGAACCGCAACAATGTGTGTTGTTATATTATTTTTTTCTCTCTTCTCCTTTGACCTATCCAAATGATCGTGCAAGCACTACATTAGGTAGAGCCCAGTGACAGCAACACAGTCTGGCTGGCCGTACCTGAGCCAGAAAACCGCAGCAAACACGTAAGTGTGTTATTACATAGAAGCAGATATCAATATATCGTCAATTTGAGAATGGGAAGTTAGCCACGGCAAAACCACACTGCAGTTGCTGGTTATTCCATTGGGTGCGTCTTTCCTGATCTCCATATGAGTACAGAGATGCCTGCTAATTAGAAACCGGCTACTTAACTTAATAACGGGGAGAGGTGCAGGGAATTATGCAGACAGGACGGCGATATTTATGCAAAAACTGACACTCGGGTTCGGCAGGTGCCAGACAGCTGTCGCCACATACTTACGCAACTATCAACGTCCACGCACCGTGCTTTTCCTTTTCCTCCTTCATCCTGCTCTAGTCACAGGTGAAGTGTTTCCTCCGCTCGAACGAAATATCCCTTTATTCTCGTTTGATACGACAGAGATGGCCGCCTTCAACGATCCGCAGAAACTAGCGGATGCCATCGCACTTGCCCAAAGCTTTAAATCAGGGCAGTTCAGCGAGAAGAGAGATAGAAAATCCAAAGCACGAGTGGAAGCCATTGACATTGCGGACAGCTCCGAAATACATCGCGATCGTACCTGGCACACGCGACAGCAGCTTGTCGCAGGTATGTGTAGCTGGCAAATTATCCTAACTTGTCTTTCTTAGCATAACCAATACGCAGAGAAAAATAGACAATATGCTGCTGCCGGATTTGTTCAGCCCTCTCAAAGGCACTATAGTAACGATGTCCTAGATAAAGGTTGGCAAATTGGACAACTAAGGGCTGAAGATGCTATAATCGGGAAAGCCGTGTTCGACTTTCTTAATCGAAATGACCTAGCCCCGACGCCAGCTGCGACTCCTGAGCCCATAAACAGGCTCCCACCGACTTCCGAAACGACTGCAGATTTGACCAGCCCTCGATCATCAACAGCAACTCCTAAGCCCATAGTTAAGCTTCTACCGGCTTCCGAAACGACTGCAGATTTGACCAGCCCCAGATCATCAGCAGCGACTCCTAAGCCCACAGTTAAGCTTCCACCGACTCCAGAAACGACTGTGAATTTTACTGGCCCCAGATCACCAACATCAGCCAGTGCTAGTACGCCGCTGACACCCGAGAGCCTAGTTCAAGGGCCCGGAGACAACCATACCAGCCCGGCGGACAGTCCTCAGAAACCTGCCGATGAGCAGGAGGCCGACCAGCTTGCCGAACTACTCAGCTCTTTCTCCTTCAAGGAGAAAAGCTCGACAGGGGATGATCCAGGAAACATCATGGATAGATTTTTGGAGTTACTAGCCAAAAAAGAGATGTCTGAACACTTGAGCCAAGACAAGCAGTCGTGTGTCAAGATTAGCGACACTGCGACTCATAACGATGCTAAACAAGAAGAAAAAGATGGTTTCGAGGAAACCACTGCGACCTCGCAGCATCATCAACCAATGAAGGCGGACCAACCTGTCTTCATCAATGCAAATGCCGACCTACTTACAACCAAGAGCAAGCAACTCTGTCCAAAGGCGCCTGCTTTTGCACCGTCTAAGGCAGAGTCTGCCAACGGTGGTATAGGAAGTCTTTCACCGAAAGAAATTGAAGTTACAGATAACGATCAGCATCAGGGAGAAAAATTGCCCTTTACCGGTCAGTTCAGTTCATCCTCTGACGGTACGCCATACGGACACTGGCCAGCTACCGAAAAAGTAACCCCTGCACTTCCTGTGACTTATACAGTTTGGGTCCCAGTTCACTATCCAATGCCTAACGCATTCTCTGATTCAACTATGGCAATGAATGGAACGCAGGCTGGAGCCCCAAACTTGGGCAGCCGCCAACCACAGCCAATGCAAGGTCTTTCAGCCTCCAAATGGGCACACCAGCCACCGAAGTCTGGGTAATCGAGAACATGCCGGCGGTACACATTTGCAGGGCATCTACAACTGGAGGATTCCGACATCGAATTCCGACATCGAATGGTGACTTCGTTTACTAATAGTGTAAATGCTTTTGAGGCACAAGACTTTTTGGTCTGACTGCATGGTTGGGTGTTACCTGATGTGGTACATGCCAGCCAGCACTGGAAGATAATATGCAGGAACGATGAAGGGGAATATGATTGCGTCTTGGGACGTTATGAACGTTATGAATTGCAAAAAGAAGCATCAGTATCTTCGTGTCTAATTTCACTAGACTCTTGGAGGAGTTTATGACAGGTTTAGACAATCGCTATGCAAAGAATAGTCTAAAAATTTGACCGTATTTATCCCGACATGCCCTTTTCCAACATCTTGACGCCTTCTCTGACCTTTGGCGAGAAATGCTTTCTTAGCAACTCTCCCTCCCACACAGTAGTTGCAAACGGGTTGCTTCCCTCCACAGAATCGCTCATCGCATTATATTGACCATTGCCCTTCCGCTCCTCGGTGTTCCACAAGCTGTTAATTTTCTTGCTATGTGTGTGTGCGACATCATTAAGTAAGGCGAGGATTGCCTGGGATGATTTCTCCGGAAGTTGTAGTGCGGTAGTCATAAGCTGTTTCGTGAAGGCGGCGAGGCGCAAAGGAGGAACTTGACGGATGTTATAATTAGGGAGCAGGATGCCCGTCAGCGAGCGAAGAAGGAGCACTGTGGTGGTTTGGACGTTGATCTTGGACGTGGCAGAGGACGTGGACAGACGGGTGTTTTCGAGATCAGATTGAAGAGAAAGAGAGAGCAGAGAGCGGAACAAGTGTGTTGTGAAGTATGACAAGTCAAGATGTAGGTCGTTTCGTGAGTTATGGGCATCCTGGCCCGCTAGCAGGGCGTATGCGGTGACGGTGCACAGGAGGGCCTCGCGGGTGAGATTCCGTACCGACTCTTCATCATCTTCCTTTTCGGCGGCTTCCTCATCCGCGGGACCCTGCTCGGCGTCTTCGTCACTGTGGCGGATGAGATCCTTCAGCGCCTCTAACAAGTCGCCAAAGAAGTCTTGATTAATCAGGTGGGAGTATTTAGCGAGTCCTTCCAGCACCGCGCCCATCAGATGCGGTGACCGCTGCTTTAAGATGCGGAAGTATGTGGCAAAGACAAGCTTCAACGTCTCGGACTGCATTCGTTCTCGTTCCTCGTGGCTGACGAGCGCATCGGCCAGAGACATGTCCTTATCCAACGACTTTTGCTCCTTCATTGCCTTTCTTTCCCTCTTGGTCCGGAATTCGCGCTTCTTTTTGGTCTTTGGTGCCCGCTGTTGCTCCACGGTGTCTTGGGACGCCTTGCCAGAGAATTCAGAGAGCAAACGAAGACTGAGGAAGAGGTTAAGTACGCTTTCGTGGACGGCAAATTCCTTGGCCTTCATCATTTTCGTGATGAGAGAGACGGCTTCGAGAGAGGGGCGGCCTTCTTCGTCGTCACGGAAGAGGGTTTCAAGGGCTTGGATGATCTTGGCGGCGTCCTTGTCGATTTTCCTTCGGCTGAGTTTGCCGACGAGAATTCGCAGGATGTCGGAGCGGAAGTTGAAGTGTGGTACGGATGTGATGAGGGTACATGCACATGTGACGGCGACATTGGAGAGGCTCTGTCCGCTGCGGACGGGGGTTGTTTCTGATCTGGCGCAGCGGGCGAGTTCTTTGATGTACGCTTGGTAGCCAGCTACGAGGGACTGTTCGAACTGCCGTGTGTTGCGGACCTCCTTTGACAGCTTCTCTTTGGGTGCATCTTCGGATTGAGGTCGTATTCTGTATCCCGGAATAATGTCCTTGTATACCGTCATTTGCGTCATGAGCGCCAACATGCGGATGGTGGGGATTTTCGACCGGCCGATCTGGGCGAGCGTCTTCAAGTTGCCGATGTTTTCTTCAGGGTTTTCATTGAGCGCCATGGCGGCTTTGGCTAATTCCTCCTGTGCTTCCAGAATTCGCTGGGCCTCTGGAACTTCTGCTGCCTTAATCTCCTCCACCACTTCTTCGTCCTCCGATTCAACTCCACCATCACGGCCCTCAAGCCACTCGGTATCGCTCTCGATGGAAGCCGCATCGTCGTCCGGGTCAAGGCCCTTAAGAAGTTCTAATCGACCATCTTGCGACTTTATGGGGAGTTTGGTATTTTCCTTTTCATTCTTCTTCCCCTTTCGTGGTCGAGACTCGTAGTCTTGCTCGAGATTCCAATTGGAAGCGTGCTTGAAGAAGTCCTTCTGCGCTCGTTTCGACGTTGTTGGAGCGTGTGATTCATCGTCTGAGGAATTATGAGTTATTTTTCTTTTCTTATTACCATTGGCGACCATCTTGTTTGAAATTGTCGTGTGCAAGGCAGCGATAGATGCAAGCAAGTTTTTTTTTTTTAGCAATATGTTTATGCTGGCGCGATCAAGTTCTTGTGAGAGCTATGCGGCCCAGAAGGCTGGCAGCTCCAATCAGATGCGGCGGTTGGCCCTCACCGCCAAAATTTTTGGAGTTTTTCTGCCGGATTTTTCTCTATCCATCTATGCCCCTCTAAGCCAAAATTTCCAGCCCAGCTATTTACTCACTTGATTATTAGTCTACAATTTATACCGCCGGCGCAATTAATTCAACTTGCATGATGGGTTTCACTAAGCCCCCTGTGCAGGCGCTGAAAGCGGCCAATAAATTAAAACGCCAAGAACTTTTCATCCAGCACAAAAAGGCGTCTGGAAAAGAGCGAAGAGAAGCTCGACACCGTCGGAGAAAGGAAGAGAACAGAGAGCCAGAACTCAAGACTGCCCGATTGGCCAAGAACAAGACTCTCACATTGGATCAAAAGCGAGTATGGGACGAAGGCAATGACGACAGTCTGGGCGCTCAGGTTGACTTGGAAAAGTTGAGGCGGAGGCAAATGGAGGAAGCTGAAGCTGAGGAACGGGCGGCCCTCGACGCGGAAATGAAGGATGATGATGATGAGGAGGACAACGACAGCATGTTGGATTCGGATGACGATGAAGATGACGAAGCGAGACAGGCTGCGTTGGAGAAGCAACGAGAGAAACGGGCGAAACGAGATAATAGCGTAGCGCCGTCAACCACAAGCACAAACCTCGACTTGACACCGTCGTCCCTGGCGCTCAAGTTCCCGTCTTTATTCAGCGATATTCCTGCACCGGACCCCAAAGTCCTGGTCACAACCTCTCTCAACTCTACTATTCACTACGAAGCGCAGCTTCTAGGCACCCTGTTCCCAAATAGCACATATATCCCCCGATCCTCACATCGCTATGGGCACAAGTATTCGCTACGAGAAATTTGCAAGTTCGCAACAAACAGGGACTACACTACTGTTCTTCTTGTGAAGGAGGATTTGAAGAAACCCACTGGGTTGTCGGTCGTCCATCTGCCGTCTGGGCCAACGTTTCATTTCTCAATATCAAATTGGATCGAAGGCAGAAAACTCCCTGGCCACGGAAACCCTACCAACCACTACCCCGAACTGCTTCTCAACAATTTCAAGACGCCGCTGGGCCTTCTCACAGCCAAGCTGTTTCAGACACTCTTCCCCCCACGGCCTGAATTCCAGGGTCGCCAGGTGGTCACTCTCCACAACCAGCGAGACTACATTTTTGTTCGCCGACATCGATATGTTTTCCGCGAGAAACGGGCTACGGAAAAAAGCATTGCAGGTGCTGATGGAAAGGAGATGAAGGGCGTAGAGGGGATCCGCGCAGGCTTGCAGGAACTTGGCCCGCGATTTACGCTGAAGCTGAGGAGAGTTGATAAGGGCATTGGACGGGCGGGCAGTGAGGGCGAGGATGCAACCCAATGGGAGTGGAAAGCCAAGATGGAGAAGGATCGCAAGCGGTTCAACCTGTAATGGATATATCTTTAGTCATGGCATTTTCAAGCCACTCAATACCGAGACAAGCCGTGATGGTGTGACCTGTCATGTTGTGCGAGAAGAGCTGACTCATAGTAGAAATACAACCACGGGCCGGTTGTAATGATGCAAATAATCAATTGCTCGCAGCGGCAACGAAGGTAAGCCGTGACGTGAATACGCGGGCTGCATGGTTCTGGATAGAATACGAAGGACAAATTGACATCAATTGATCCGACGAGACGGCGGCCCGCTGCAAATTGCGCCGAGATCTACAGGAGGCCAGACCCACCAGCCATCCACCAGCCCGCCAGGGCGACAATTTATAGTTCCAAAATTAATGCTCCACGTTTTTACACCTGGCCATACCAGCTGAGTTTGTTCCCAAGTTTGCCAAGTTTCCGAATGTACCACCCTCTTGTGGCGGCACGGCTTCCGCCATGCAATAATAGCGCGCCACCATGCCAGCGGTTGTCACTGGTTTTTGCCCAGTTTTGATTACATCCAGCCGCATCGCACGCATCAATTTTTCCAGAACATCGTACATTCACTCAATCGTCTGGGCAGGCCTGCTGGTACAGACTTTTTGAACTGGCAATTCGCAATCTGAGCCTCTGCACCTCCTCTCCCGTCCAATCGGGCGCTTGTCATGTATGGTGACGCAGCTGTGAGCAACTGAGGTCAGCTGCACCTTCCGTCATGACACGACGGCTCTGGAAGAGCCTGCAGCTGGGCGTGTCCAGCGGCCCACGAAGACAAACGAAAGCGGCATCGTCATCGTCATCGGCATCGGCATCGTCATCGCCGTCCTTGTCTTTGCCGCCCGAAATTTCTGCACCCGTAGTTTCAGACGGGGTAGGGAGTAGTGAGTGCGGTGCTTTCGACACGATGCGCATGCGTATCTGGGAGCTGCTGACAGTGATATTTCGCAGGCAATGCGGTCAACGGCACACACAGCTACTTGCAAGACCTTGACGTATGGAAACAGGCACCAATACTCAAGGGCACGACGAATTTTGAACCTCGGCCAGATGTCAAAAATATCATGGTAACTGGAGGCGCAGGCTTCATGTGAGTAGGCAACACGGCCGTTCGTCGATAAATGAATTGACTCTTCCCGCAGAGCGTCTTGGGTTGTGCGGCACTTGACTCTTACATACCCAGAAGCGTACAACGTTGTTTCATTTGATAAGTTGGACTATTGCTCGTCTCTCAACAACACCAGAGTGTTGGACGACAAACGCAACTTCACATTTTATCATGGGGATCTCACAAATCCAAGCGAGGTCTTGGACTGCATGGAGAGGTACCGAATTGACACGGTTCTGCATTTTGCAGCGCAGTCTCACGTGGATTTGAGCTTTGGCAACTCGTACAGTTTCACCCATGCGAACGTCTACGGGACACACGTGTTGCTAGAGAGTGCCAAGAAAGCCGAGATCAAGCGCTTCATCCACGTCTCTACTGACGAGGTGTATGGTGAGGTGAAGGAAGATGACGACGACTTGGTGGAGTCGAGCATACTGTCGCCGACAAACCCTTACGCGGCAAGCAAAGCAGCAGCTGAGATGCTGGTTCAGTCTTACAACAAGAGCTTCAAGCTGCCCACGATAATCGTCCGAAGCAACAATGTGTACGGACCACACCAATACCCCGAAAGTAAGTTCAATGTCGGAAACAATGTTTGCATGCATCTTCCCTCTTCAACTGAACATCTACTAAGTCTTGACAGAAATCATAGCCAAGTTCACTTGCCTTCTAAACCGTGGACGGCCCGTCGTATTGCATGGTGACGGCAGTCCCACAAGGCGATATCTTTACGCTGGCGACGCCGCAGATGCATTTGACACTATTCTACACAAGGGCCACATTGGTCACATTTACAATGTGGGCTCTTCCGATGAAATCTCAAATTTAGATCTCTGTTCTCAACTGCTTGACACAATGGGCATAGACCATTCAACGTCAGAGCAGTTTCGCAAATGGATCAAGTATACGCACGACAGACCATTCAATGACCGCAGATATGCGGTAGATGGCACCAAATTACGCATGCTCGGATGGAGTCAAAACACTAGCCTTGAAAAGGGTTTGAAAACAACGGTAGACTGGTACATCAAGTATGGAGAGTCGTGGTGGGGAGACATAAGCCATGTGCTTACGCCGTTCCCAATGGTCAGCGAAGGGGAAATCGTACCGGATTTCGAGCATCTAATGAAGGATGACCCTGTTCAACCAGGAGATGAGTGCCTGGCAAATGACAAGAAAGAGGTGTAGAGATGTTGCAACATGCCGTGTTCTATAGACAGGACTAGAGTGTGGACGGCCGAATGGTGTCAAGACAAAGACACGACATCATGGACATGGATGAGACGAAGTTTTTTTTTCGGGTTGGATACGGATTTAACATGGCGATGCGAAACTGGGATAGAAACACGATTGCTCTTCCTTCTTTTCTCTCCTTCTTTTATTAGATACGAGCTCCAAACACTGCAGGTTGTGTATTTCGGGGCTGTCGCATTAAACACCGTTCACGATCAATGGAACGTTTTCTCAAGGTCGGAGATTTACCGCTTGATGGTCATGGGGCGCTGCAACAACTCGGGACATGATTAGCGGCCGCAGCCCCCAGAGTTGCGGGTATCGACGATCGGGCCAGGACACGGAGTTCATGTCTTGAGCCAAATTGGCAGCACTCGGCCAGGAGGATTATACTTCAATACTCCGTAAACAGCCCAATGTTAATAGCATGCTGAACCCTGTTTCCAGAGCCTGCCAAGCTGGGCTGCCAATCGCAACAGCCGTCAGCCAATCAATCATTGGCATCACTCATTTGTTCACTCCCTCCAGTCACACCCGCCACTGCTCCGCCCACGAGTGATGCCACATACAGGCTGCTCCAAGTCCGTGACTAGCGCCGACGAGTCACGCCAATTCGGGCCAATTCCAGTTCAGACCCAGCCAACGCAAAAAGTCAAAGTTGTAAGCGACATCGAGCCTCCAAATCCAGCCGGCCAACTCCCCAGCTCCTCGGCGTCCTCTGCGACTGGTCGGGGATGGATGCTCATCCATGTTTTCCGTTTGTTTTCCGCCGTCACATCGGCCGACTCGATTCGACGTTGCTCTGAAATACCTGCTCACCTTACTCCGTACATAAATGTTGGAGAACCCCTGCAGCGAATCCATGCCTCAGCTGCAGAAAACTTGCCAACGGTCCCTGCATTACGACTCGGCAACTTGCATGTATTGTCACACACAAGCTCAGTCTGCAACTTGCGCTTTCTGACCAGGTGCAAGCCCTCGGCAATAAGCCTCTCTAGCACCTGGGGAGCCTCCGTCTACGGTATCATGCCGTTTGCCCGGCATCGGCACTGGCACGAGATAGTAGGGGCCTGCGCAATCTGTTGACAGTCAAGGAAAGATAGAGAATGGTCCACCAAAAACATGTACTGAGGTCGCCCTCCTTTACCAACCCCGCCGCCGCCAATCCTTCTCACGTACCTGTTGGGGATACCAATAACGCTGCTGAAGCTGAGGTATCTCACGGGACTCAACCGCAGAGCGATGGAGCTGCGAGCGAGGGGGGGCAGGCAGTTGTGAGCAGCTCTGCGGCGGATGATGACCAGTCCGGCTCCCATCACATTGGCTCAGATGTAGAAGACGACGCTCCAGGTTATGGTTGTGAGGCAGTATCATTGTATCCGGGAAGAAATTATCATCGACGTCCCAGTGCCAGCTCGACGACAGCATATATCGTCCACAGCTCTTATGGGCAACCACACTCGGATAGGTAAGCCGCCGTCCTCTCTCTTCATCCTCCTCCCTCTGCTAACAGGCACACTTACATTTCAGGGCCGCATCCACGCGGTCTCTGTGGGCACGAGAGCTTGACTATCGAGAAATCGGAGGCCGTCGCTACTGCAAAGAATACTTTATGCCCAATGATGAGATCGAGCAGCTACGCCTGACCATACAACACCAAGTGCTCATGCATGCATTCGACGGCGAACTGACAATCACTCCCCTGGGCAACCCCACGCACGTCTTGGATGTTGGAACTGGAACTGGAGAATGGGCCATCAGATTTGCCGAACTGTTCCCCGATTGCGAAGTCGTAGGAACAGACATATCTGCTATACAGGAGACCCAAGGAGTCCCGATGAACGTCTTTTTCGAAATCGAAGATGCAGAAGAGTGGGACCGACCTATAGACCATTATGACTTGGTGCATCTGCGAGGCATGGAAGGAGCCTTTCGCGACTGGAGATGCATTTATGAGGATGCATTTGATTCACTGAAGCCCGGCGGGTGGATTCAAGTGACAGACTACGACGGCAAGGATGGATCTATCCAATTCTTTTCTGGTTTCTCTCCGGAGTCGCCTGTTTTTAAGATGATGGACGACCTCTTTATTGGGGCGGAAAAGTCGGGTCGAAAACGAGGCATGTTTCACCTTGACCAGCAATACTTCTCGGAGGCTGGTTTTGTCGATATACGGGTCTCTGAACATATCCTCCGAATGAATCTACAGGAGGACAATGTGGGTAAACTCTGGCTAATGTGCTGGCTGGATGGAATCGAGGCGTACTCCCTACGCACGCTCACAGAACAGATGGGATGGGACGCTGATGTTGTCAAGACGGCGTGCCGTGAGACGGCTCGGGAAATTGCTAGTCGCGCGCAAGATTCGGAATCATGCAAGACCATGGTACTCAAGATGCGCACTGTTTTGGCGAGAAAGCCCTCTAGGGACGAGTCTCCTGTTCCTACCAGCTCCTCAGATGAGAGCACGATACATGGAGAAAGCAGTGACTCAACATCCGAAATAGATGGTTGAAGAGATCGAGGGTGTTGCTAGACTCGGAGGACACATAGCTATGGCAGGATGCACCCTGATTATTATTGCAGCCACTTGATGGGCGGCACGGTTCCCGCGACGGCGTTTTGACGTTGATAGGTATTTGGATTGAGGCCAGAGTATTGATAGTGGGAAAGAATTTCTCTAGGAAGAGCGTTGGGAAATTCGAACTCAGCTGCGGCCCACGATGTTCTGTAGGCACGATCTTGTCAAATGCCTGAATTTGACGATGTGGACATGGCCCTGGTAAGTTGCTTGGGCTTGAGCACTTGGCTAGACAACTAGAAAATGATGCATCGCTGCTCAATCGCACTTTCGAATCAAGTTGACTGGATATGAATATCATCTCCCTTTAGGCAACCTATTTTGCTGATAAAAAGGTATGGACAATTTGATGCTTGGAGCTTTCACGACCAGGGCAGGCAAACAGGCATGTGCCATCCGTCTGCCCAAATACTGCGTACAAATGTGGAGATGGAGGTCAAGTTGTAGTGGGGAGCTCCTCCAACCACCATCATCGAGGACACACTGAACCTCGCCTCCATGATCCTGTGAGCTTCACCCGCGCATCGTCATCCATCTTTTACCTTGCTGCAGTGACCTGGTTCTATTCTGTGCTCTTGCATGCGATAGAATACAAGAGATTCGACCGGATATGCGGCTATAGACCTCCACCATGTCGTTCAATCCCAATGATGGCTTCGTGGCCACCGCACCGACCGGAGATGCCTCTGGCATCGACGAGCTACCCATCTTCAATGTGGAACGCGCTCAAATGGCATTTTCTGTGACGGCGGAGTTCGTGGCGGCGCAGGTAGCGAACAACATTATGATCTTGGCCTTATCCAACGGCCGGATTCTGCGAATCGACCTGAAGCGGCCGGAGGACATTGATGGTACGTCACCTCTGGAACTCGATGCACTGCTACACGTGAAAGCTCAGTATCGTTCCTAACTATCTGCAGATATTGATCTACCGAAAAGAGCATCCGAAATTGGCGTTATTCGGCGCATGTTCCTTGACCCAACTGCCTCTCATTTACTGATTTGCACTGCGCTGGGCGAAAATTACTACCTTCACACGCAATCAAGGCAACCTCGGCCCTTGGGCCAGCTGCGCGGCGTTGCAATCGAGAGTGTAGCGTGGAACCCATCTCTCCCAACTGCGTCAACACGCGAGATTATCCTTGGTGCCTCCGACGGCAACATTTACGAAGCATTCATCGAAACCGCCAACGAGTTTTACAAAAGAGAGGTCAAGCATCTCAAAAACCTGCACAAGCTTCCCGATGGTCCTATTACGGGCTTGTGGGTCGACGATTTGAAGGGCAGTCCGGATACTCGAAGAATCATGATTGGCACACAGAGCAGATTGTTCCATTTGGTGGGCAAGATTGGGCGGAGTCATGACGGCAGCGGCTCGGTATATACGAAGTTATTTGAATCGGAACAGCCTGTGATTCATGAAATCCCGCGAAGCTCATCCGGCGGCCATTCGACAGTCGTGGTCTCTCCAGATTCTCCTGAGGGGGGTCGTGCAGATAATACTCCAGACAGAGCGTATGCGTGGTTGTCATCGCAAGGAGTGTTTCATGGCAAGCTTCTGAATAGCCCCAAAGACAGCAGCCTTGGATCCAAGGTCTTTGCAGAATCAAAGACGCTATCTAAGGCACAAATTATTGCTTCGGAGTCCACGGGTCGGCATAAACCGACTGCAGAGACTGTCGATTCCTTACTTCTCACCGAGTGGCACATGCTCAGCCTGGTTGGCAATCGTGTTATTGCCACCAACCGCCTCACGGGCAATACGGTGTCTGAACATGACGTCCTTGCAACTGGTCAGAAGGCTATTGCCTTCACCATGGACATGCAAGAACGAACGTTTTGGCTCATCACGTCTGACGAGATATACGAGATTGTTGCCCGAGACGAAGAAAGAAATATTTGGCAAATAATGATGAAGAACAAGCAGTTTGATTCGGCATTGCAATATTCTCGTACACAGACGCAAAAGGAGACCGTTGCAGCGGGCTATGGGGACTACCTTGCGAAGAAGGGACATTGGACCGAGGCAGCTGTGCTGTATGGCCGTAGCAACAAACCATTCGAAGATGTTGCGCTCAGCATTATTGACAATAATCAGGCGGATGCCTTGAGACAGTTTCTATTGACGAAGCTTGCCAACACAAAGAAGTCTGCCACTCTACAAAGAACGATTGTTGCTAGTTGGTTAGTGGAGGTATTCATGGCAAAGCTCAACTCTCTCGACGACACAATCATCACGCAGGCCGAGCTTTCAGAGACTATGAACCCCGCTGAGTCGAAGATGATTCTGGAGTCTGTTAAAAAGGAGTTCCACGATTTTGTCAACAAATATAAAGGCGACTTGGATCGGAAAACGGCATACGACATCATTAGCAGCCACGGAAGAGAAAGAGAGCTTCTATACTTTGCTAATGTGGTCGACGACTACAACTACGTTTTGTCGTACTGGGTACAGAGAGAGCGTTGGGAAGAGGTCTTGAACGTTCTCAAGAGGCAGACGGACGTTGATGTCTTTTACCGATACAGTACAGTTCTCATGACTCATGTTCCGCAGGAAACGGTCGAGATCCTGATGAGGCAATCCGAACTAAAGCCTCGTAGCCTCATCCCAGCATTGCTTGAGTACAATCGCAGCTTCTCTGGACATGCAAACTCTCAGAATCAGGCAGTCCGATACTTGAATTACGTCATTTTCCAACTAAACTCTACTGACGCCGCTATCCACAACACGCTCGTTTCAATATATGCCTCGCACCCTTCAAAGGACGAGTCAGGACTGCTTTCTTATTTGCAGGCTCAGGGCGATGAGCCACGGTATGATCCTGATTTCGCGCTGCGACTGTGCATCCAGCATCACCGCACTCTTTCCTGCGTGCACATCTATACGAGTATGGGCCAATACCTGCAAGCAGTTGATTTGGCACTGTCACACAATGAGGTTGAACTAGCCGCAGTCATTGCCGACCGGCCCATGTCAAACCCCCAGCTTCGAAAGAGACTCTGGTTGGCAGTGGCTCGCAAAGTCATTGCCAAATCAGACGGAATCAAAGCAGCCATTGAGTTCCTCAAGAGATGCGACCTTCTCAAGATTGAAGACCTAATACCATTCTTCCCTGACTTTGTGGTGATTGACGATTTCAAAGAGGAGATTTGCCAGGCATTGGAAGACTATTCTCGGAATATTGACAGTCTGAAGAAAGAGATGGATGAGTCGTCACAGACGGCAAGTAATATCAAAATGGACATTGCGGCACTAGATCATCGATATGCCATCGTCGAGCCTGGGGAGAAGTGCTACGTCTGCGGACTGCCCTTGCTTAGCAGGCAATTCTTTGTGTTTCCCTGTCAGCACTCATTCCATTCGGATTGCATGGGGAGAAAGGTGCTCGAGTACTCCGGGTTCGGGCACTCAAAGAAGATACGGCAGTTGCAGATGCAGATTCACAAGGGGCTGGTAAATGGGGCCAAGAGGGAGGCGGTGGTTGCTGAACTCGATGCTTTGGTGGCTTCAGCATGGTAAGTTTGCATTCACACGGCTTGGATAAATGATGTATTGCTGACTGTTGGCAGTATTCTATGCAGCGACTTTGCCATCAAGAGAATAGATGAGCCATTTATATCTGCCGACGACAATCCTAATGAATGGGCTGTGTAGGGAAGAGACGATTGTATTATATTTTTGCAGATTAGCGTATACCCGAATGCATTGATGCCACACATGTATGATCCCGCCAAGGGGGTGCACCGGACATCTTTCTTCAAAACGTGGCATACCACCAAAAGATTGATTCGGTCTCAGTACCTGCACTCGGTGACGTCGAGAGTAGATTTCGTGATCATCAAGATGGACACAATGACACCGTAAAGCCCCAAGACTTCGGCGAAGATGAGGATCAGGACCATGCCTACGTATAGTCGCGGTTGCTGGTTGCTCGCTCGCACTAGGTCAGTGTTAGCCAACAGCACCCAACAAGACAAAAAAAAAAGGACATTGTCGAGATTGCGCTGCCAAAGACCAAGTCTGTGTGTTTGCAATAGCCGTCGCAGAGTGTTGTGACATACCGCCAGCATCGCCGATGATGCCAATGGCAAAGCCGGCAGCTAACCCGCACAAGCCGACGGCCATGCCGGCCCCGAGCTGCAGGAAGCCGGTGTGGGCGGGCATCTTCTCCCTGATGCCGTTGGACATGATGACGGCGGAGACGAGGCCGTATATGGAGAGGATCTGGGCCATGATGGAGCAGAGACTGCGCTTGTCAGCAACATGATGTGCCGGCGGGAGCTGCACGTACGTGTTCTGCATCAAGCGTTCGGGTCGGAGCACGCCGCATGAGAAGATGGCAATGGACGACTTGGCCGTCCCGTAGGCGGCTCCGAAGGTGGTGAAGATGATGGCGAATGCGATGCCCATGGCTCCGAAGAAGGACTAGATATTTGTGAGTGAGGCGTTGGGAGAAGAGTCGACGGAAGAAGGGACTGACGGAATACATGGGACTATCAAAGTGGGAATTAGCAGTGCTTTGGAGTTTTGTGTCGGGAATTTTCGTGTGTAGGGGGGAGTGTACCAGCGCTCCATGGAGGCAAAGACTTGGTCTTCCATCTCGGTATTGGGATTTATGGGAATTTGTGGTTGTTGCTTGGAGATTAGGGAAGTCGTTTCAGAGACATAGGTTCAAGTAGGACGCTGCTTATATTTGATATGTTTGCGGGAGGCATCCGAGGGGGAGTAAGCATATAGTCGCCCCCTGGTGGTTGCGTTGTTGCCTGAAAGGCGTCGCATCAACCCGATTGGGATGCTACGTCATTTCAAGTGGAATATTACAGGCTAGGGGGATGCTGTAGATGGATTGCGGCATGAGATTATGCCGGGGATGGGAGACGTGTGTTGGCTAGGCAGACGTATTCGGGATGATGGTGGTGCGCCAATAGTGATGGGGGATGGTGGTTTGGGGGGCTGAATAGGCAGAAGGGTTGGAGGGGTGAAGAGCAGTGGCCCTTTTTTGACGGAAACTTGCTGTGTTTTAATGAGATTGAAAGGTTTCATTATATTTTGTATGATACCAAGAGTTGTGTATTGCATCACGCCAGCGCAAAGTTGGTACCGCGATGACGACCAAAGCCGCATTAGGGGGGGCGGCAGAACACTAAATTGAGCAGCCACGTCGGACTGTCCCTCCAATACCATCATAATTTTGAAGAGGAATATAATACAATTGGAAGAGACGCTAAGCTCGTCAATGCTCCAGCCAAAAAAACGTGGCGCGCGAAAAAATACATGTAGTTTGTGCTGCCGGGTAGGACGGCGGCTATGCTGGGCCATGGAATATGGTGAAGGCGGCTGGGCCATTGGACTTTCCGCTCCTCGCTCTGTTAGTGTTCTATCACGTGCTGCGACTGCCCTACGGTGCAATATGAATTCGGAGTGCGTAGATTGACTGTCTTGCTGTTTTATCCCCAGGGGTTTTCATCTCAACGGCAACAGCAATATCCAAAACCGAGGCATGGCCAGAATAATCAAAACTTGACATGGGTAGAGAATTTCCTCCAGCTACTACTATACCCCGGAACCATCTAGGTACACGACAAACCTCATTCAACATGGCCTCGAGTGCACCTGGCGGCCCTTGACCCAGACAATCTTGGTGTTGCGGTCATCGCCGTTGTACATCCACTTCGCCACGATATCCTTCCAGTTGCACAAGTCCCATTCAAACAAATCTACATTTCCATGATCCTTGTGGCGCCCTTCTTTGTGGTCACCAACGACATGCAACCCCACAAGCTGCGCATCCCAGTCCTTGCCTACTTCAAACCCACCGACTTTATCCTCCAGACCGACCACCTTGGCGCCGCCCCTCGTGGCCAGATACAAGACCTGCGCAACCGAGAGGTTGACCTTTTTGCGTGTCTCGTTATCCGGGGCTTTCATGGCCAGGTGTCTACTGACGAGCACGGCCTGCCTTGCCGCCTCCAGGATAGACGGACTATATCCACCGCTCATGTCTGTCCCCAGCCCAACGTCGATGTGTCTGTCCCATAACCAGCGTACGCGAGCCTCGCCGCTCCCAAGAGCAGAGTTGCTGCAGGGACAATGGGATACCTTGGACTTGCGTTCACGAATAAGTCTAGCCTCGCCCTCGCTTAAGTGCACAGAGTGTCCAAGAATTGTCTTAGGCGTCAGCAGACCGTACGTATCATATACCTTTGCGTACGATCCCGTATCTGGATACATGTCGGCAACGTCTTTTATCTCAAGCGGATTCTCAGAGATGTGTGTCTGTATCGGCAGATGCAGCTTGCGGTGCATCTCGGACAGCCCATTCATGGCCTCGGGAGTGCAAGACAGCGCGAACCGAGGCGTGAGAATAGGCGAAACAAGATCGTAATCGGGGTCCAGGTCGTCAATAAACTCAATCACCTTCCTGGTTCTGCTGAGAGCCTCCTGGCTCGATGGATCTCGGAGGCCCTCAGGACTCAAGTCCCCGTCCCTGTCCATGCACACCCGACCGATAAACGCCCGCTGGCCCAGATGGAAGCAGATCTTGGCCAGCAAATTTGTCGCAGCCACATGGGTAGTGGCGTAGTAGGCGGCCGTGGTGGTGCCGTGGGCCAGAGTCCGCTGTACACACGCCGTGTACACTTGCTGTGCAACTTTCTCGTCGCTGAACCTCTCCTCGCAGGGAAAGACATATGTTTGCAGCCAGTGTATAAGGGTCGATTCGCCAAACACGCCCACAATGGGATATTGAGAGGCGTGGACGTGTGTATCTGGGCCATTTCTGCTTAGAGCGTGTGGAAGAGCGCCTCTGGTCATGGTCTTTTCTTACCTATGAAGCCGGGGAAGAAGAATTGCCCGCGTTTGCAGGAGTAGACGTCTACATCGTGCTCGTGCCAGCGTAGACGGCACAGCAGCTGCTTCTTGGCTGCGTGGACATCGGCCGAGTCGTCGTCGATGCCGACAATCTTTCCTCGCTCGTCGACGGCAATTGCTGCGTCGAGAAAGAACTTTAGTTCTTCAGGCGTCTGGCTATGTACAAAGTTTCCCAACATGAGGCTCTTCCTCCTTGACGGCTTTGAAGAGGATTCCATGTTGTCCTTGATTCGCTTTTGCTTTTGAACAGGTAAAGTTCGTCAGAGGACGACCCAATCTCGGTTGTCAGAAGGATTTTTCTTCGGTCTCTTAAATGTAGACGGATAATACGGAGTAAGAAAGGTAGGGTTATTGGTGGTGAGATTGACAAGTTGGACTGGGGGCTTTTATAAATTTTGACTTCGCCGCCGAGGTCGCCTTCTGCAGTGCTGGGCTGGCACTAGACGAGTGCAAGGACGAGTCAGGACACTGCCATGGAGAATGTCTCGGCCAGAATTATCGATGCAACAACTTGGCAACGAATCCGGACCCGGCCAGTCACCGAGAAGAGGTTGGCGAGCGGTCGATCCATTACTAGTACGTGCTCTTTGCATGTCTCACAGGAGGTCACAAAACGGGAAAACGCAGCCAGCCACCGCCCAGCGACTTGCATGCAACCACCGCCTCACCATCTGTCCTCTGAACGCGCTGGCCTACTGCTGCTGGATCCCCAGTGCCTGGAAGGTGATGTGCTACGGAGTATACTCCGTGAGCGAGTTGTCATACCCTGCCGGATAAGTTCAGCCCATTTTAGTCCTAAGCATTCTTGCGGACCCGTTTTCGATGAGAGTACCGAGCCAGTTTAGTTTGTTGACGCAGTTGCACACATGTCTTGTAGGCTTAGCAACTGAGTAGTGCGTGACTTGGCTGGTATTTTCGTCTGGACCCTAAAATGGTGAATGAGGCGAAAAGATAGAGCTTCTGACTTACCGGAAACATGCCCATGTCCCAGCACGTGGTAGCTGGAAATGCGCCAGGCGGTTCTGGGCAAGACGGCTTATCCTACGAGTAGACCTCACAAAACAGCCCCATGTACTCCTTGCAATTGAATCATCTTTGGCTGGCTGGACTAGTAGTAGTTACGACTCAGTTAGGCGCAGCATGTTGACTAGTGGCGCTGACTTGCAGTGTCTGCCATGCACGTCACTCTTTTGGTGGGTTTGTCGATGCAAATGTAACACACCAAGAAAGCTTGCCAACGTTGACGTCCCCTGACTTGAGCTCGAAATGCTCAACTTTAGTCGGCTCGTTCAGTCGACTTCTTTTTGCGCAACAGAGAATAGAGGTTCGAAATTATGCCAACAGAAGATGTTGCTCTTCAACACCTGCCGTTTCGTTGCAGGAGATTCGAAAACTCCCGACTACTGGTTCTGGAATAACAGTTCCCCACTCTTAGCCGCTACCAAACGACGGCCCGGTCCGTAGCGTCTTTTCTCTTGCGCTTTGGCCGTTATTATTATTGTGGTTATCAACTATTGTTGTTGCGTCAAAATATTATTAGCATCCGACTGTACACAAGAGGACTCTTTTATTTGTTTCAAATCTCTAACAGCATGTAGGGGTCAGCATCTATCACTTAGAAGCACCGGTCGGAATTTTGAACAACACCGCTTTGCCTCCGGGACCTTGCCCAATACCCTTGTCAACACGAAAGTATCCCTTCCGCTCCAACTCAATAATGTCCCCTTCAGTAAGCTCATTAAAAGCGGAACCCACCCATGCGTCCGGTATCGTGGCTGTAACGGGGTTAAGATATTTACCCAAGTTATCCTCCTTGGCAAGGCTATTCTTGGTTAAGAGATGGTAGTTAAAGTCCCATAGCTCCGCTCCGATAAACTCTTCACCCTGAAAAGTTAACCATTGAATCTTCTTTTGTGTCTTCGTAGCGTTTTCTTCAGGATATAGCTCTAATTGCAGCCTTGTAATAGTTTGCCTATTTTCAGATTTAACAATCTCTCGAAGAAAGGCATTCCCCACTCATAAGGGTGATTTCTTCTCCTTGCTGTAGCACGACAGCATCCACTTGTTCAATATATAACTGGTTCGCGAATAGTGCCATCTTTGTGTCTAAAGACAGCATCTTGGGGTGCCTTGGTCGTGGTTCTTGTTGGGGGGTGTCGGGAGCCCCCTTTACAGTAACCAAGACTGTATTCTCCCTCTCCACAGCCGTATGCCTAGGAGCAATTGCGTCAATGACCTTTTTATTCATTGCCCATTAAATAGTCCAATCCATGGACGCGATATTACGACTCGGACCTTGTTTTAACATAAACTCGCGAAGGGCCTCTATCGTAAGGCCACGGCGAAGAATACCTTGTACTGTAGGCATTCTTGGGTCGTCCCAGCTATTTATCTTGCCAGACTTAACTACTTTAGTAAGCTTTCTTTTAGATAAGAAAGTCTTAATAAAGTTAATTTGAGTAAAACCCCATAAATAAATATTACGCAAGTTAAGAATATTTAAGAACCAGTGGTATTATTCGTTGCGATTAGAGTATTCCGTAGTTCGCAGAGCATGTGTCACCCCTTCAATAGAGTCAACAAGGGGACAAGCAAAGTCGTAGGTCGGGTAAATATTCCACGTCCAGCCAGTTCTGTGATGAGGCCGTGGTTCAGATTCTCAGGTTGGAAATCGATAGATAATGGGGTCACGCATTGCACCATTTGAGCTATCAAAGGTGATGCGTGCGCGAATGCAATGCCTTTTTGCCCAGCGCTGTCCCCCTTCGCATTTCTTCAAACATGGCAAGGCTTTCGGCGGGAGGCTGATCTCGCTGGATGCTAGGAAGGCGCTTGTATCGATCTTTTTTCTGAATCCCGGGATCCGTGTCATCAGCATACTCCGTGGCAGGGCGTAAGTTAAAGGCACCAATGCGGACCATGTTGCGAGCCAAGGTGCTTAGAGAAGCAACAATCAACGGATAAATAACAGTCGCGTAGACTTCCCACCCGGATTCAAGGCCAAAAATACCCGATCACAAGGTACCAGTTTCTGGATACGGACTTTCCGCATAGATATCGAGTTGCCCGACAAGACGCAAAAGGCTTACTTCTTCAAAGTCTCCACCGGCGAATTGGGTATGAGCACGCTCCGGGGCGAGTGTGAAGGGGTAAAAGTTATCCACAAGTATACTCCTGAGGGCATTCCTTGCCCGGTCGCTTGGAGCTCCTACAGGTCGGATTCTAATACATATTTCTACTTGTCCGGGTTCATGAACATGATCGAGGAGTTGCCAGACATCCGAAAGTTCTCGGCCATGCTTGCTAAGCTCCATCATCAAAGTGTGGTTAACAAGAATGCCCCAAAGGAGTTCAGGTTTCATGTCATGACGCGCAAAAGTACCATGTACCAAGATATTTCTTGGTGTAAGACATGGGAGAAGATGTATACACGTTAATTCTAATCCTTTACTGACCAAGAACTAGTTTCTCAAGGCCCAAGTAAAGAACTTGACCAGATCCTGCCGGAATTCATAAGCAACGTTAGCCCTCGTCTGCTACGCCCTCTCGAAACCCGTGGTAGGACCCTCAAACCTGTTGCATTACATGGAGATATCTGGCATGGAAACCTAGCCGTTAATGCAAATACAGGGGAGCCAGTGCACTTTGACGCATCGATCTTTTGGGGTCACAATGAGTGTGAGTGTCTGACTCTTACGTCCCGTATTGCTAGCTTGCACTCATAGTATATACTAGATGATGTTGGAAGCATGGCTACCCCTCGTTACGGAGTGGGCCAGGACTGGATCGTAGAATACCACAAGTTCTTCCCAGTTTCAGTTCCAGAAGAAGATCATGAGGCTAGAGATGTTCTTTACGCCATGTAAGCCACGCGAAGATGTTGCGACGCGTCAGATAGCTGCTGACTAGTCAAATAGAAGTGGGCACTTCTGTGCTTCAACGCTATATCCCGACAACAAACCCTTCCGCAGTACTGATGAAAGGGAAAATATGATGAAGCGCAGAAGAGAAGAGGTGAGAACTCGGTGAAAGGGTGCCGGTTGCAAAGTTTGGTTCGCTGAATGCATGGAATGATCAATGAACAAAGCTAGCCCTGAGTGCTGTGCTTGCACCGCATACGTGAGGCCGTAAGCGGAATCACATAGTATCTCGGGTCAACCTCCCTTTCCGTCCGTATCTCAGCTCGATGAGGTGAAACAGACCGGCTATGACACACATGGCACTCAACAGCGTTAGAGTCAAGCCAAGTCCCCCATTGTCCATCAGCTTCTGAAGAGCGGCTACTATTGCAGCGGAAAGAATGCATCTTCTGGGTTGATGTCAACCAGTAAAGAGTTATTAACTTAAGTGGGATTAGCGTTCAGGGCTACGAAATGTTGGAGTTGCCATGACCATAAATTTATATATGCGCACATTAAAAGACGTTTAAACCGCCGATGAATAAACAGGCTAGTGGAGCTGCAAGATGCTGTCACGATGGTTTAGCGATGCCTTGGATTTGAGATGAGCAATATTTGAAGACACTCACCACATGATTATGGACCAGCCATCCATACGCTAGAGTCTTGCAGGCTCTGTGCCACCATTTCCAACAAAGGTACGGTGTGTCTCAAGGAGAACAAGAAGTACGTCAACGAGACACGAAGCAGATGTGATGACAAGGAACCAGAATATCCCTCTCCAACCAGGACCGGCGGCAAAGGCGCTGGCAAAAGGACAGGGCCAAGACTCGGAGCTGTCGTGATTCTATCCCAAAAAATATCAACAGGATGGGTGGAAAGGATTGTCAATGAGGACATGGAGCTGCGAGGTCAAGCAATGATACAGTACACACAAAATTATTCATGGAGAATGAAGGAAAAACTCATAACGCTTACCCAAAGGAAAGAGCGGAAGCAAATGCACCTCTTTCACCAGGAGTGGACATGTCGGCGGCAATGACTCCATACGCAACGGAAAAAGTTCCTACCGAGGTCCTTTGGCAAGTCGCCTCCTGCCATTTGTAGATCACCATGCTGGTTCGCACTTCCATCCCGCTTCTCCTCTTGCCAATTACTAGAAAGGGATATCGTAGTCATGATATATGGCGGGATAACTCTTTGTGTTCTACAACAAATCTTTGTTGTAAACCAGCAGATGAGGGGGCTTTCGCAATGTTCCAATCAATGCTTCCTCTCCGCCGTTGTCAAACCTGAATCTTGTTCCAACTCATCACATGTGCAGAGTACGTCGTACAATGCGTCGCACGGAGAGCTTGATCCGTTCAATCAACAATTAGAGGGGTCAGTCGGCTGAGAGTACCGTGGCCGCCTGCAAGCCTTCGGAAATGTGCTCAAACCAGAGTCTGGCCGTTCTTCTGTTGTGTATATGTATGCCTTTTTGTGTCATGCCCGGATCGTTGACGCCCTCTCTTTCCTTGCATCACACTCTACTCCGTCCCATACCTATCAGCTGTCCCTGTCAGCACTTTCGCCATGTCGCCAGAGTACTGGGAGATACAAAACAATCGCAAAGAACACAAGGGCGACATCGAACTTGATGCGAATGTCAAAAAGTGTAAGTCTTGCATAGCGGGCAGAAGTCACTGAAAATCGGAACGGTAACACATGACATATGTAAAGCATTAGAACCCCCCCCGTCGGCTCATTTTCGGTGTGAAGGCCACGGGGCAAGCAACTGGAACACGACAGCTCGAATCGAAGCCGAGGTCGATGGGAACCAACTGTCATACTTTTTGAAGGTGGGAATATCTTGGAAGTATTCCCCTGCTTCATGTAACTTTACAGACGCTGCTTGATCCTAACCCTCGTTTATACTAGCTGGCGGAGGGAAGAGAAGCTCGCTCCATGCTTGACGAGTCCTCAAAATTGATCAATAAAGCCATTCCCAACCTCTCTCCAAAACCATTAGCCTGGGGGAAATGCGAGAAGCCCGGGGGCGAGTTTGACAAGTACTTCCTCATCTTCACATTCCACTCACTGCTTGAAGACAAACCCAAGCCTAGACCCGACATTCCGCGTTTCGCCGAAGCAGTGGCTCAGCTCCATACCCTCAGCATGAAAGAGTATGCCACGTCGAACCCTGATGAAAAGTTTGGATTCCATGTAACCACCTACAACGGGACGCTTCCGCAGGACAATACTTGGACCAAGTCCTGGAAAGAATTCTACGTTGCAGGAATGGAGCGGATGTTGGCACTGGAGGAAGAAGCAAGAGGGCCGAGTGATGAACTGAAGAAGCTTTCAGAACCCTTCCTCAGAAAGGTCATCCCAAGGCTTCTTGATCCCATGGAAACAAATGGCAGAAGCATCAAGCCTGTGCTGCTTCATGGTGATTTGTGGTTGGGAAACGTCTCTTGCCAGAAGGCGTCTGAAAATAACGATCCGCTGTTGTTCGATGCTGCAGCTTTCTGGGGCCACAACGAGTGTCAGTTCCAATTTCGCCTTGACTTGCTCCTTTGAACCTTCTTTCCCCCGAAATAAGCGGACTTGGTATTGCCCCTTTTGGAATACGGACGCTGATGGTGGTGATGTAGACGAGCTTGCTACTCTGCGTCCCTTGGCAGATGATTGGATCAAAGAGTGTTATAGAGCTTACCACGAGCTCGTTCCAAAATCCGACCCCGAGGAAGACTGGGATGCCCGTAATGCCCTCTATGCAACGTCTGTTTGTTTCATTGGAAGCTACGCAATACTTTTGTAACTGACCAGCTGTCTTAGGCGCCTCATCATCCACGACTCGGCAATTTACCCGGATCAACCTCACTTCAGAGAAATGTAGGTCAATTCCTGAGTTCAGGCTGAAAATTTTCTCATCTACTGGTAGGTTGATTGACGAGATGCGAAAGCTGGTGCAGCGGTTTGCCTCGTGTCATGATGAGCATTGAGAACATGCCATACTTGGCTAGGATAGCACCAATTCATTGTCTTTGACACTCGTTGACAATCTACGGCTGGTGAATTTGTCGTAAAGGATGTGACGACCCGACAACGTCGTTTGGAGCGAGCGAGGGTCCATCTGAGCGTATGAAGCTATCTATAGATCTAGTGGAGATTATCTAATAGTAAAAAAAGGAATTGTCTATCGATATGTGAGGTGGGAGTTGCGACTGAGATGTTGTAGTAGCCTGCTTTATCAGCAATATGCCCGGAAACAATACGACCGATTCCATTGTAAAAAACGACTTGGTTCCTCAGCACATTCTGTCCAACTATATAGTAGGTGAAAAGGTGTGGCCACCTATACACGCCTGCTTTGGTGCATTGGAACACATACTGAACACCAACAGGAACGTCCCCATCTCCCAGTATGGCAACGACAAGTTGCACCAGACCCCCAACGCAACTTACAGAACCTGGACGATGACGCTCTCCAGGGTGAGGCGAATGGCATGTGGGCTCACCTTGAGGAGGTTTCCTCCAGTACCTTTCACATCTGTTCTAGACACTCACACTTGCACTCGCGATGCAAGGAGCTACACAGCACAACTGCGTTACACGGAACCTTGACGCCGGAATCAAGCTCCCAGATGAGGATGTCATTCGAGTCGAGATCAAGCGCCGTCTGTCGTGTGGTGCGCCGTCTGCACAGATTGGTGAGACTTGATGCAGTAGAGCTGCTGGGATAAACATAACCACTACTAACGGATTGTCTAGGACTATCGCGACTGTTCCTGGGCCTAAAGAAGGAACGTATCCTTTCAACCCGAAGCAGTTCCGCGTAAAATATCCGTTGAACTTGGACGGCGAGGATCATCGGCCAGGTATGGGACCCGTCAAGGGACGACCGGCTCACGAGCCAACATCCATATCATTCTTTATATAGAAAATCCGCCCTGCGGAGCTGGTCCACGATGTGTTGGACAGTGTAGAGGAATCGCAAGTCTCAATTCACCCAAGTAGCCACGACCTGGCCATCCAATAGAGCAATGGTTACCACGCATACTGCAGCCATGATCAAGAGGAAGCAGCTAGGCTTTCAACCCTTACAACATGGCGGTTGTTGTTGCCATTGACAAGCTCATTGACGCCTTGCAGACGATAGGAGCGGAGAGGGAGGGTGACCAACCGGTAGGTCTGGAGGCAGACAAGGCTATCACAAGAACCGCAGGGCCCGTATGTAGACCTACGTCCTGTGAGAGCGCAAAAGTCCGGGGAGTTGATCCAGGTAATATGTTTCTGCCGAACTTTATACTAATCAAGACATGGGGGAGTTGTGGGAGGAGCTGTTGAGTGGCATGTCTTCCGAAAATGCGTTGAACGCATTATGTGTGTATCTGCATCTATCAAGAAAAGCTCGCAGTGAGTAGACTGTTTATTCCTCATTGAATCACAATAGACACCGAAGGAATGTGTCAGGCAAACCTAACAGCGCGGGGGATTGCCCCCGAGGCTCTTGGACAAACACGATGCTCATGATTTAGTTTGGGCGATTTTGGGGCTTTCCGATGTGTCGGCCTATACAAGAATCAATATTCATTCAAGAATTTGGGAACTGCTCTTTCAAGTGCGGCTGGCCGGCTTGGCTTGTCGTCCTTAGTTACCAACACTCAGTTCCTGCCACCAGACAGCTTACTCGAGACTGTTGGTCCTTCTGCGCCGGCGACTACTTGATAGTGCGTGCCATATATTAACCTGCAATGAGCGACATTAAACTAGTCAAGTATTTTCGTCTGTTGCATATATAAGCTGTCGATGCGGCGTCTCTCCCCGCCGCACGTTAGCGAGTAGGAAATCTAGGTGCATGTCTGGCAGTAACCCGTCACCAATAATAGAAACACATGTCAGAGAGATGGCCTTGTAGATGAAACCTCAATCGGGCGTCTAGATCGAGTGGATTACTGCACCAAGTTGTTGCCGCGGGCACACAGTCGTAAAACGTGGGCACCAGGGCCGGCGTCACGAGCTAAGAAGAGCCCTGTGCGAAACGGGCATCGAACATTGGCATTTACGATCCGAGAGCCTGATGTTACGCAATGTTGAGACGGAGGCGGTTATGGTGCTAAACTTGGACAACCCTGATACTAGTGTGACGTGTCAGAAGGAGTAGTAGGGGTCAGCTCTGTTTTAGCATGAAAGGCTGTTAGAGTGTCCATTACCCTTTTTGGAGTATGAGATAGGTCAATAAGCAAGCAACTTGAGGCATGGGCGAGTCTGAAGAGACGCGGTGATGGTGATGGACCGATTGTTTGCTGGGCACGGTGTCTCCCGAGTCATGAACCATGATGGGTTGCGGGAGTCAAGTGAGCAGAGGCACCTCCCAACAGGTTGTTGTTGATGCATCGCATTACAATCATGCCGTGCCCGAAACTGCATAGATAGATGTTCCGATGTTCCGACGAACCACGCGAAGACACCAGATGGGCTTCGGTTGAGTCTTTTCTCTGACGTTGCGATAAACATTTGCTAGATCAAGCCGCACGTTGTTGATCTGCCGCGTGGCCTTGTCCACACATCAAATCAAGGCGAGGAAGGAGCACACAACATGACTTGCCTTGTTCATCCCTCACCATTCAACACCGCATACAGTTGTCGATCACATCAGCCTCCCAACCTCGGATTTGGACGAGGTCAAATGCACATACTCAAACATTGGCGTCTTCAATGGCGCCAGAGACGACACCCGCCGCCGCATGCCAATGCCTACACTGTTCCAGTCCATGGCCAATGGAGGCTATCTGGCGCCGAACAGATGGGACGTGGCGTTTTGGTCGACGGGCGAACGCCCAAGTGAAACGAGCATGGCACGAGCTCATGCGGGCCAGCTGGCCGCCATTTGATGCTATTATTTACGCGCCGGCCAAGGACTCCAGCTATTCTTGGCAACAGCAACGACCCTTTCCGGTCCCTAACACCCCGACTGCTTTGTTCCGTCGTACCTCTGCAGCATCCTGATGTCGGCTGTTGGTTTCAAATGTCCTGACACAGCCGTGGAAAACGACGGCAAGGCGAACAGGTCGCCCATGCTATCAATGCACCAAGCTGAACAACTGCTGTTGATGGCTCGAGCGAATGAGCGCTGCGATGACCAATTTTTCGCGGCTCCTTGGACTTGGCATCGCGACATTCGCCCGGCTAGCTCTGCTCACACTGCATCAGTTCTCTGTGCTGCTTTGTGCCCCGAGCTCCGTTTTCCGCACTTCTCACGGTCGTCCGACCTCTCTTGCCTGCATGGCGTAGGCCGCGCGTCTCGGAAATCAGGGGCTTCATGGGCTGAGCCCTGGAACGCCCCGCAGGATCTCACTCGTTGACAGTTCCTCAACACGGCATTGTTCTTCCCGTTCTCCTTGTGGCGATGTCTGGTTCATGCCTAGCCTTGGCGGTACTACGAATCTCCATGTTGCGTGGGAATTCTGACCAGGCCAAAAATGGCATCCTTCCAACGAGAGCTACTAATGCATCATGAGCCGCCGGCATCAGTCTCCGTGGCCTCGGGCATTTCTGTATTAGCTAGTCGTTCGTTCTGATTCCTCATGCTCTGTTGCTCCATCAGCAGGCTTGCATCTAATTACTGTTTTCTCGACAGTCTCACCATTCATCTCTCCAGTGCCGTATCTCAACTCTTTCTAAACCATCACACACATCGTCGCGAGTAGGCGCAGGCCAATTCTTGCCACCAATTGTCCCGAAATAGCCGTCCTATTCGCCAACTTCGACGAACTGTACTGCCCGCTGCATGCCACGGCACAAGGTGGCGTCTTAAAAACACCGACGAGGTGACGAATCCCAGGGTCCACTAAGCCGCAATTGCCGACGGCACCATACAAGTTCGGGCATTACTGTACCGCCAGTGTTTTCTTCTGTGAGGCTCGAAGCCAACTTGTAGCCCGGGAAAGATAATAGGACAGATCGGTAGAGCGGCAATTTCTTCGTCTCAAACTTGCGTAATCGACGTCGGAACTTTGTGAAGGGGGTCACACACTATTCCGTCTTACGACGACGACTTTATACTTGGTGATATTTATTCACCGAGGGAGACCCACGTATGCCATATGCAACATAATCAATCTATGCAGCATACACATACACCGTCGATATGAATCTCAAAATGAAACTCCTTACCTTCACTGCTCTTCTGCCGTATGTCCATGGTCTGTCAATACCAGATCGGCAAGATGGATCGCCTCGGGTGGTTGGCTTGCCGCTACATCGCAGTGAGATTCGAGACCCTGTCACACACGATAGGAACAGGATGCGGAAAAGAGATGGCACCGTCAATGCAACAATCGATAACTTGGTACGATATCCTTTGCAATGAGAAATCATTCGCCGGCGTAACTCACATATTCATAGCAAACCTTGTACTTCCTAAACGCTTCACTAGGAACTCCGCCACAAAATGTACGACTACACATAGACACTGGAAGCAGTGATCTGTGGGTTAACACACGAAGTTCTCAGCTCTGCTCGATGAGGAAAAGGCCTTGCGCAGAGTCTCTTGTGTACACAGCCAATTCTTCGTCAACGTACAAGTATGTCAGCAGTAACTTCAACATCTCCTACGTCGACGGATCAGGTGCAGCAGGAGACTATGTCACAGACACAATGAGCTTCTCCGGGGTGAATTTGTCTTCGCTTCAATTTGGAGTCGGCTATGAGAGCACCTCAGAGCAGAATGTACTAGGGATAGGGTATCCTAGTAACGAGGTTCAAGTAGTGCGATCAGGACTCAAACCGTACGACAACTTGCCAGCCAAGATGGCAGCCGACGGACTCATCGCATCCAGTGCATACAGTCTGTGGCTGAACGACTTGGATTCCTCAACCGGCGAGGTCCTGTTTGGCGGTGTTGACAGGGATCGGTTTCGGGGGAGCTTGATCAGTTTGCCCATTCAGAAGGTCGGCAACGGTTATAACGAGTTCTTTATCACCATGACTGGCCTCGATGTCGGGTCCAAAAATGTTGGCAAAAATATGGCGTTGGCTGTGCTTCTCGATTCGGGCAGCTCATTAACATACCTGCCCGACTCAATGGTGGAAAGCATTTACGGAATGGTGGAGGCGTCGTACGACCCATCTCAAGGTGCCGCTTTCGTCAAGTGCTCTGTGCAGCAGACAATTGCCTCCATGACGTTCAATTTTAGTTCGCCGGCATCCGTAACTGTGCCTATGAACGAAATGCTCATCAATGTGTCTGACACGGAGGGCGAGCAGCTGATTTTCGGCAACGGCGAACCGGCCTGTCTTTTTGGCATCTTGCCAGCTGGAAAAGCGTCTTCTGTCCTGGGCGACACTTTTCTCCGTAGTGCCTACGTGGTCTACGATACAGAAAACAATGAAATTTCTCTAGCGAATACGATATTCAACGCCACGACATCCAACCAGGTTGAAATCAATAGTAAGTCGACTGCACCATTTGCAACCAAAGCCAGCAACCCCATCACAGCGACGTCTGGGTTGCCTGGAGGGATCAATTCCAAGGGCAACACTCAGCAGCCAGGCAACGCGGCGAGTAGTCTTGCCCCATCGTTGACGTTACTTTTTGTATGCATGATGGCAAGGGCTCTTATTTGAACCGTGGGCTCTTTCAACACAGCTGATATATACATGCGCTTTATTTGGGGCGCGTGATCTAAATATAGAGAGGTTGGTGCATTGCGATGGCGTTTCGGCTTGGATATGGCTTATGAGCATGGGACAAAACCAATCGTTAAGATGGTATGACTGCCATATGGCTAAGATTTGCAACACATAGTTGTGTATAGATTTAATAATCTATGTCTCAAAATCCCAAACACAAGCACATGTCTCTCACAACAACCTTGTTATGGCCGCCGGACCCTGGTGCCGACTTCCATGCGGGCCGCTCTGCCCCGGGTCCACCCCGCGCCGGCCCCTCACCGGCGGCCAAAGTCGGCAAGCTGTGTGGGCTCTCCGGGCCAGTTAGAATGCGTCCGGCCGATGTGATGTTTCTTATCTTTGAGACATATACCTGCATGATACTAACCTCGCACCTCACCCCTCCTTATTTCTTACTATTTCCGACGCGCGAAACAGAACGGCAGCAAAGGCGTCACGCTCCCCTGTGTGGTGGGAGTGCATAGACACACAGCGCGGAGCAGTTGGTCATGGGCACGTATCTGGATGCACCGGTCCCGAACGCCAATTCGTCACGGGCATGTCAACTTTTTCATCGGTATCTATCTGAAACTCTCTTACCACAGGGGAGCATGCGCCTTGCCACCTCGAACGACAAGACGGATACTCATGGGTGTCGGGAGTGTAAATTAGTGGAGGGTATGTGACGTTTTTCGTAGACGAGGCGAGGTGGATAAAAGCGCAATTCGCGTTTCGCAGATGAATATCATCATTGGGATGAATTTTATATTTTCTCGCCGAGATGGGATTCTCCAGCCGACCTACCCACATGAGTTGGGAATAAAGATACTTTACACAAGACCTCAAGGGTCTCCTTGCCTAGATGCGCCAAAACCGCCCTCCTTTTCCGGTAAACAAACACCATAAAGCCGTAGCCTGCCCCTCCCCCGGGGACAGCAACCACCGTTAGATGAGAAGACGTGATTTCCATACAATGCGCAGTCATATTCCTTCCTGGCCATGAACGAGAGGACGTCATGGCCCAGACATATCCGCCTGCCACGCCGCAGACTGGTTCCAAGACTCCCAACCCGCCGTTGTTTCATCAATGCCAGCCATTGTGAACAATGCTTCCGTGATGGAGGATGTAAATAGCGTGTCCTGCATAGATTGCATCTGTGCGGCCTGCCACATTTGAGGGACCACTCTTTCCTGGAAGGCCCTTAGATCAAACCTGTTCTCTTCGGGAGTGTTGCCCAGCCCAGGCGGCGAGGTATGACTACTTCCTGATAGAGGGTCTGAGCCGGCTACGCGATGAGCCGGCGAAGACGTTGACGAATTCGTCCGGTCTGGCAAGGCGAAAGTCGCGTCTCCCAGCGGATTCCGCACATCGATTCCAGGGGCAGCGCTAAACGCGGTTGACCGATTTCCATGGCCTGGCGTCTCATCCGCCTGGCCGTCCATTGCGGTACCCATGAGTCCGACCGAGGGACTTCCACTCGGTGACATCCTCTTTCTCTTGTGTTCCGTTCTGTCTCTTGGTCCGGCGCCGACGTTGCGAGTTACTGCACCGAGAACCGGCTGGAAACAATCGCAATTGATTAGTTTTCGCACGACGGGTTCGGCCCCTCCCGACGCTATTGGGGGGATGCCCTTGTCTAGTTTCAAATGGCCCGGTAGAATTTTTCCCTGGGGGTTGTTGAGTGGGAGCCTGCCTGGCAGAACAGGGGTCACTTTGGAATGTTTCGATATCGAACTGCGCGTAATCAATGGAATGTTGGAGTGGTTGGCGCCGCCAAAGATTGAGCGGTACTTTTCCAAGTTTGGAAACTTTAGCACGGATGTGAGCTCGTTTCTTTCAATATCCAAACACGCTTGATGAAGAAAAGCACAAGTGATTTCGTGGTTCCGACCAATTGCCTCCATTGCCTGGATAATAATTTCAAGATTTGACTTGTCCAACGGTGTGAGACCAGACTGGGGGTTCAACTTGGCCAAGTAGACGTATACCGTTATAGAGCAGTATAGCGACAATGCACAAAGAGGACTTTTCTGTGAAAGGTGTCAGCGCTGGAGGAAAAAAGAGGAAAAGGGGAGGGCTTGCTCTGGCCCAAGTGGTTCGATTCCAGCGAAACAAGAGTGTGCGAATAATGCTTACAAAGATAGAGGTAGAATGAGACGACAGTTTTACAATGTTCACAATTTCCTCTGCCGACGTCCTCAGTCGAAAGAGGCTTGTTCGCGTTACGTTTTCGCCTAGATTGTGAAGGTCTGCTTTCTCTAAAGCTGCGTGATGAAGAATAATGACAGCGGCGTGCAGGTTGAGGTTCATATGAATAGCCCCTGGGTCTCTCAACGCCCCCGGTAGGCGGAACCTCGCAGGTAGGAACATGAAGAGGCTTGATAACTGATTATCTAGATCACGGTGCCTCTTCCAGAACGGGCCCTCCATCATATCCTCTGGTTTGTCGGTAGGCTTAGATCGGTGCACGTGTTTGAGAATTACTCGGAAAATAGAGCACACGACGATTGTACCGGCAAAGGAGCTGAAGGATGTTCCGGAGGAAATCTCGTCCAAGAATGGAGCGATTTCCTCCTCGCCGGAGGAAAAGGCTTCCTCTGACGCGGGAAGACGGGTCATTATCTAGAGACTGTTAGTTTGTGTCTTGTGTCGACTAGAAAGTGGTTCGTTGATGCAGACGTCCTTACATCGTCGGGGTTTATTAATGCCGGCCAACCTGTAGATATACTGGCATGAGAGTCGATGGCAAAGGCACCCCAAAACACTCTCCTCCTTTCCTCCAGCTCCTCCCACGTTGAATGCGGACCGAGCGCAGGAGGCAAATCGTCGCGCGCACCGTCAAGGCGGTCCAGGCCCATCATTTGGCAAAGCCGCACAGCCTTGGCGCAGGTTGTAGAAGCCCTCGTAAAGAGCATACATTTGGCCTCGAAAGCAGCGACCAGGCACAAGGCCTGGGCATGAGCAATGGTGATGAAATGCTCCCCGTGGTCCTGCATGCGTCGCCATCAGTTCACATGCGTGCTGTAACGCTTCGCCCAGCAGCGGCTTCTTCTCACCTTCATCTCATCAGCCTCTATGTACTGACGAGCTCGTTGATAAAATACTTGGGAATACTGGTCGTATCTGGCGTGCCCGCTGGCGGCCATGGCCCATACGGCATACTGCAGGCTCATGGGCGGTTTTCGCAGCGGCCCGGCATAGAACGACCGGTAGTACCTTCCAGAATGTATGATAGGGATGAAGTGATATGGAACGAGGAAGAATGTGTTGTTGCTGGGGATGTTAGCCGTACAAGTTCACGAGTATATATGTATGGCAGGGGCAATAGACAACATACAGGTCTTCTTGAACTTCGAGGGGCGGCACCGTCTCTGAATAGCCTAGGCCTATGAGCGTGCCGTTACCCATAAATGTGTCCTCCTGGGTTGCAGAAGCGTCAGGAAAGGAGAAGGCAGTCACCCCCGGTTGCTGAGAATCAGCGGCATCACTCCCCGTAGGTCCGCTTTCAAAGGTGAAGTCTCCTTGCCAAAGCGGCGGGTCAGACTGCTGGGAGGCATTCGAATTCCCGCCTTCATCGACACCCTTGTTTACTTCTTTGAGATAACTCTCTACTTGAGCTGGTTGATATTGTCAGCAAGGGGGTTTTCTTGCTACCGCAACGGAAGGGCAACACAGGGAGGGTATGTATGTATGTGTGGGAATATTCGACGCGGGCGTATGACGGACGGGCATATGCTTACCAAGCCGGGCTTCAATCTCCTTTACATTTCGTCGCTTAAAGGTTGGCTTCCTGCGTGATTCTGGATATACACATTCGCCGCCCACTTTGTGGCAGCGAGTGCATGACGGTTTGGATCTGTCACACTTGAGTTTCCTGGACCTGCACGTCACACAGGCCAACGGCTCCGTGCCCGACGAGACACCGGAGCCGGAGGGATCCGATGGCGGCTCGGGAGACATGGCCGGCAGGTTGTCGGTGATGCGTGACCCGTGATCCGCAATCGGCGGGCGACGCGGGAATGCGATGATGGAATATGAGGATGGCTGAGGTGGGGCCGCGGAGCCAACCGACGACCAGTCGACAGGTGAGCCAAGGTCCAATTTGCCGCAGCAAGTTCTGGTGCTGCAGGACAACTGTCTTGAATGTCTGCGCGTGCCTTGAGCGTCTTGGGTTTTCTTCCAGCGACGCGTATCTCGTCTTTTGGCCGATGGTCGTCGTGTGTCATCATTTTCAGCGTTATGGTCACTCGAGTGGACTCGGGTACGGCAGTCGCTTACCAATAGCAGCTCACGATCGCTCCTGCCTGTGTCCGAGTGCCCGACTTCCGATGACTAATGTATGTACCTGCTCACGTGGACGGAGTGCTACGCGGAGCGTTTTAGCCCCGACCTCCGAACATTTCATCCACGAAAATAAACCGTGAACCCTACCATCAACTGGCTCTGGGCAACGGGCGTCAAAACCACCATGAATGCCTTTTGTTCACCGTGGGCTGTAGACAATGCAAAACGTCTGGTTGAACTGGCGTTGGTTGCACATTGCATAGTCCAGGGCCGCTCCTAGCTAGGGACCCCCAAACCCCCATGGGGTGGGCGAACGCCGGCGAGAACCTCGAGGAATTGACTGCCAGCCTGGTTCGCCCCTGACTATTCGTACCAGACTGCGTACTAGGTAGTCAAGTACATAGTAGTAGCCTGCACCCACATCATCCATATGCCATGCTACACAAAGTCAAGTCAATACGTAGATGCATAGACCTTGGCTGTTTGGTCTCAACCCCCTTCCTTGTATGGCGGCCAAATACCGGGGACTTGGCCATACGTGCTAAGCTGGTAGCTGGACATTGGAACAACCTATAGCAACGCGCAATCTGAGCAATAGAGTTTGTGCTATTGATGTTGACACCTTGGCTGGGGCTTGTCACTGTGGCAAAATGCCGAGTTTCAGGAGCAAAACCCGGAGACTAGAAACGAAAAGGCCAGAAACCTGCTATGCCTGCATTCTTGACTCCACTCTCCGGCTCGTAACTCCATACATAGGCCTGGCATCGCGCCTGGCAATGCAATTAATCAAACGCAGGGGCACCGTGAATCCGGATGGCGAGTAGCCGTATGCATCCACATCACAGTGCATGCAGTGATGAGTCGTCGACCGCCGCGCCGAGGCATTGGCATTGGCATTGGCATTGCAAGACCTACCTCTCCATCGTTGGTGCGCGTCGATCACCCTTTCCAAAAAGAGGAATGTCGAGTTTCATTCCTATGTATGTATGTTGCGTCCACTGTGGCCACTTGGACCTTGGTCAGCAATGTCACCCCTTGATATGCATGTCAAATCCATTAGTCCGCTGATCAATCTATTGTCATGTGAAGGCCCGATATTCATTGATATCGGATGTAGATACATAGTAAGCAGGATCGCGATTCTTGTTTCAATTCTGCCCGGCCTTGTACGGACAAGGAAGAGTAGGCGGCCAATAAACTTTGACATGCCGTGATCAGGCATGGCAAGATAATCCGTGTTTCCGACGGCCCTAATAGTTTGTGTGCCCTGGTCTTTTTACAAACTGAAACGCCATATGCAAACTTTGTCAGCTTCGAACTGTTCGTTTTTTTTTCTGTTCTATTTTTTATACATCCATGTCCGGTTTTGTAGACGTATTAATGGTACTGTCTATATGGATATCAATTGATTGTCTCAAGCGCCAGGGACAAGTAGTCTATGTCTCTTGCCAGTAACTATACGACTGGCTTGAAGCTTTACGGAAAGGAAACGGTGACAGAAATCAAGTCAAACGTGAGCCTTTGAAAAAACTACGTTTGGACCGTCAATATAACGACCAGCATGTTGCCGAGGGCCATTGTAATACAATGTCAGCTATTACAATGTCCCGAAGAAAATAGCAAGACCAACGAAGAATCCTCCCCCCCGAGCTACTGTCAGTGGCATAGCACGATGGTTGAAGGAACGTCCAAAATAGCCAGGGCTAGGATTGAACAGAGTAATCCACGGTTATATTGCAACGAAAACTGAGCACTAATGCTACGGACTCGTGACGTGTGCTTTCGTAGCAAGGAAAAAGGCTACGGGCGCCGCGTGCAATGTGCAAGGTGTCAATTGAATTTGAATTTGGCGGTTGACCACCATGCATGTGAATACAGCCGCTTCTGCCCTTCACAAGTGAACACCGTGTCAAGAGAGAATGATTCCCGCTTCATAAATCACTGCAAGCTTCAGCGAGCCCCCAGCATAACTGAGGTTTGACTTTTATCAAGATATAGAATGGCCATATGCCCCTTGATACTAGCGGGGTTTCGTCGTCAGTCTTCAGCCATCGACATTTTGTCTGGCATGATGCCACAGCAATAGGACGACTTTGAGAGGATGGCGGTGCGTTGATTCCTGAGCCCGTAGCGAGCATAGGTGTCCTCTGTAGAGTACGGGGAGTTCGCTGATGGTGACTCGCATGTGTTGCGACTGGCCCAGGACTAGCAGGCCAGCGAAAAAAGGTCCGTCCCCGACATCTACATACATATGTACGTCTGTATGTATGTATGTGTATGTATGTAGGCCGGGTCTACTCCGTAGTGGGCGCGGGCTAAGCGGCGATCAATTCCATTCCAGGTTCTCTTATCTCTTCCGCGTAAGCAGCTTAGTAGACGTTCTGAATCCACCAGCTTGCCCTTGGCCCTGTCCCTGGGTCTAGTATTGGCCAGTTGGCGCCAGGCGCTAAGTGATTGTCAAGAATGTCATTAGCCGACGGACGCCAGCTCGGATCTTGGCGGCGATGATCATGTGGCACGCGGAGTAGTCTAGTTTAGACTCGGTAGGTATAAGAAAGAGTAGGAATAAGTGTGGCTTGAATCGAAACCGTTGCATCGTTGGTCCGATGGCGAATAGCCGCCCGGCACCGGCACCATGTGCTTGGAATCATAAGGTTGGTAAATATGTCGTACATGGCGTTAGCATTTTCTAACCGTCGCTTAGGTCGTATATCGAAGTTAAGAAAAGACTGGCTGGTTGCTTGGACTTTGCCCAAAGAGGATGTGTTTGACGAAGCGGTCCGCGCAGAAGAGTTTATCTGGTGCAAGTTCCTGGGCTGTGCAAGTGTGGCTTGCGCTTCAAAGACGAGGCTGAAGCTTAACATGGACAAGCCAGGTAGTACTGCGTACTTGGTGCGGGACTTTGGCCCCGTGGGCGCCACACTTGGTTACTTGTTGACAGGGGCTGGAGCACAACATTAGTGGACAGTTGCTACAGCTGCCTACCTTGTATTTCGAGGTACTCCGTACTGCACGGATATTCCGAAAAGGATATGGACAATTTTGCCAAAGGGGGTCAAGTCACCCACAGATATAGAAGCTTGATTGTTGTCCTGCTAGCATATCAAGGGTGCTCACTGCTGAGACAGACGGAGGTACATGCCACGGTGGTAATGAAGGATCGCAAAGGTTTGCAGCTTTGTACTTGGCATAGCATGGTGGTGACGCTCGAGGTTTGACGGTTTGACGGTTTGACGGTTTGACGGTTTGACGGTTTGTAAGAGTCGCGTACAATGTTACATACTCCGTACTGTATGCATGTACAACATGGGGCGCTCCGCTCCTGCTTCCACGTCGCCAGCCCCGGTCCCTGGGTAAATGGCATCATCGGCCCATGAGTAAGCCCTTACCAATCGACGAACTTGCCTAAAATACGAGTAGATGAGGAAGGTAGGACCGGAGCGTGGATTCGAAGTATACCTATGTACACATCAGGTACGCAAGTTCCGGCAGTAACAAAGTACGCCTTTGCATCATTCAACAGCGGCCTATCTTCAATTGTAATGTCTAGGCCAAGTCTTTTCGAGCCACGTTTTCTCCATCGTCCTTCAGATGCCCATATGGAATCTGATCCGACATCCGTCCCGTCATCTAAGACAGTCGCCTTTGCTCCGGATTCCCAGGGCCGGGGCCATGCACGAAGCGTCCTGGCTCTCTCCATGCTCCATTAAATAGTCCTTGCCTGTCAAACATTACTCCGTACATATGTGTGTACACTGCAACACGTACAACATGCAATGCCCCGTTAAGACGAGTCTGTGGCTGTCGGCGAAAGACTAGCGCGCGCGTGCGCTGGCTGGTATTTACTAGTACTACTGCAAAGTCCGTCCGCCGTGGATTCATGGCCAGCACACGCTCTCGGCCCTCGATCCCCCGACCCTCCCTCCACCTTCCACTTTCCAGTGACAGTCTGCAGCCCGATGCCAAGGGTGACAGCAAACCGACTTCTGGCGTGCGAGACAAGAGCTCCGCGCTCAGCACCCCGCCGTGCATGATGATGTCTTGGCTGTTGGGGGCCAGATTGTCGGCCTCCCCTGTCGGGCTGATGATTGCATTGAGCAGCGTGGCGCGCTTGGGAATAGCTCCTGCGTCTTGCGTTAGCAAACAGCCACTCACGGCCTCGTCCGTGCCCTTCGAGAAAAATTGAGTTTATTAGCCCTGGCCGGTGCAGCGGATTTGACACCTGCCCTCCACAACCAAGGCGCGGAAGCTTGGGCCAAGGGCATGCAAAACTGCTACGCTTACACCCCCGGTGCCCTCCCTTCCTGCCTCCTTGACGCCTCCTCAAATCGAGCATGGATCGGCGCCGACGTCAAATCAATCTTGACGCGATGTCCCTTGGAAATCGGTGTTGCCTTTTGGCTCGCTTTTGTTCATGAGACGGGCTGAAGCTGTCCGGCTTATAATAACATTATCACACAATCTGGGCGGTACTCCTAGCTGGCCGCCCTCGTTGCCCGACTCATTCGACATTCGACAACGATACACGAGCCTATGCGACGGCGCACTTCTCGACCTTCAAGACTCAAAACCTAGAAAATCCGACAATGTCCTCGCATGGAAATATGGAGCAATGAGCAGGATCTTATGAGGGTTGCTTCTCCTGCATTATCCCAGTTTTGCTAAACTAGCCGCCG